TAAACCGCTGCCCTGTTTTCTGCAATCTCTAATATGATGAAGTCCTCAAGTAGCAGTATTAGAATGCCGCTTAGTTTTAATAAAAAACGGGCCTTGCATAGGAAAGGCCAGCAGAGATTCCAAAAACACCTGAGTTAATAAATTGTAAAGTGAGAAATGTCAAAATGTTTAAAAGTTAAGGAAAATTTCATACCAAAGTAATTAGTCTCTCAACATTTTTAGTTCGCACACAGCAAAGAAAAACAATTAACTCTGCTCAGGCAAACCGTTCAATTATATGCCACTTCGGGGTTTGTAGAAGCCGTATCTTTGGTATAAGCTACTGTTTCAGTTTCCCACATCGGCAGCATGAGGTCTGGGAAAATGTGTATAATACGCCCAATATTTTGAAACAGGGATGGTTAGGAACGGAAGCGTAAGTATCACTTCCACTGGAGACAAATGCAAACATCAAACACAGAAAATTCAAGCCAAGAAAAAAAAAAAGAAAAAGAAAAGAAAAAACCTAGATTTGTTTTTACTGAGAGGAAAAACTAGCAGTAGGCTGTTTTAGGTGAAGAGGGCTGGTCTTCAGATGTGATTTCACAGACAACTCCTTTAAATTTGAAGTTTAAAAAATTAGAACTACCAGTCAAAATTACAGTTAAGACTTCGTTCCTTACGTCCACAATTAATTTTTAAGCAGACAACATGTATTCATTTCAACTCTACTAACCTTGAAGAAAGGCAACTATTATACCAGATGAAATGCAAAATAACCTAACATAGAATGACAGATAATTAGGAACATACTTTCTATGAATTAGAGTAGAAAATAAGCCTAAGTGCTTATCAAAAGAGAAACAAATAAAAATAAAATTTGGTATAATTTAGAATATTATAAAGTGATTTAACAATGAGCATGATGAAATATGTTTCATCATGGATATATCCTTAAAAAATTGAGATTTTGTTAAAAGAAACCAAAGTTAGAGAAAGAGTATATAGCAAAATATCACTCAAGAAAATTAAAGCATGTAAAATAACATTCTACAGTTTGTGAACACATCAGTTATATATATATATATATATATATATATATATATATATATATATTTGATACTCAGTTTTATTTCAAAAGTCACTGTGCTAAAGGAATGTTCTATCTTGTCCTTAGAAAATATTCCTGCAGGTTCAATCCTGGCATTTCACTTAGAGCATCCTCAGAGAAGTACGCTATGTTTTTGTAGGTTCCTAACTTGCCTACACAGTGCAGAGTAACAGAAGTGCCCACTGCTGAACAGGACAGACTAAGACAGAAACAATAGGTAGATGCCCATCAGATCCAGAAAATCAAAACTCAGTCACGGAATTTTGGATGCAACTGTCTAGACAATTGCCAGGAGCCAAGCTGATTTTTCTCTAGTGGAACAGTGGATTAAAATGCATAACAAGACAGGGAACCCAAGCACTCTGACGACGCATGGAAGCACATGGGGACAGCAAAAGGTTGGGCCTCCAGGGTCTCAGTAATTGCTGTATCTCTGTTAGCAGAACAGGGATAAGAACACTGCTCTCTGTCACTGGATTTTTGTCCCCTCCCACTTGCCAACTTTTCTTCTTTATTTATTTATTTTTTAATGGCAGAAGGTTTTTTGTTTTTTTGGTTTTTGACTGGCTCCGAATGCCTTCAGGGCAGATTTGGCTAGCTTGAGTTCTGGGGGTCGAACCACAGCAACCTGAGCCTGACTGCTTTGTTGAAGCAGCCACTTAAAGAACTGAACTAAGGGGCAGGACCCCAATATTTTTAATGTATAAGTCTGATCAATACTTCTGTGTGAAAGTTTTCATCATTCTCCTGCTCTTAGAGTTGGGTGTAACTCACTTAGTAGGACTTACCTCTTCCTACAGGGCTGGCTTCAGTTTATTTCTCCGTCTTTAGTTAGGCCACTCCTCTCCTTGCTCTAATACACTAACTCAGGGTTCCTAACTTCCACTAGTATTCTATTCATAATTAATTATATACTCAGGTACATCTACCATCCAGTCTGTGATGTCTTCCATAAGGACAGAGATGACATCTATGCTGTGATTGTCAGAACCTTAGGGGCCCACTAGGGTATTTTCAATATAATAAGTAGCTGATTAGCACATATTTATTAAAAGAAGAGAAACATAGTGAAAGAGCAACATGGTTAATTTGAAATGGACTGAACATAAAAATACATTTCTAAGGTATCATTATGAATTACATTATTGGGATCTTGAAAATATCTCTTGGAAATGATCCACATGGCAGTGCAACGTGTCTATCTACAACTTGACCTGATGTTTTTTGGTAAGTGACTGTAGGACAATCACAGAACAAAATGCTTCCATGTTTAGAGTGGTTAAAACTACCCAGTTCTTCAGGCCTTATTAATCACTTAGGATCGCCACAAACTGAATTAATGTGAAAAATAATATGAAACCTCCAAATCAGTATGAGAGTACAGACCTAGTGTAGCTGGTCCATATAAACAGCCAGCCAGAGTAGTGCTGTGTAAGTCAAGAGTGTGAACTCCTCACTCACTTGGTCCATCCTTTTTTTTATTATTAATTTTATTGAGAAACCGATAGCAATGAGATAGTTTCAAAATCGATTAATAGGACAGTTTCAATAATTAATACATTGTATATTGTTGTCTTCATAGTGGTTATTCATAGTACAAGATGCAGCCATGATATCCTGTCCAAACACTATTAGTACAAATCTTTCTTCTCATTGAATTAAGTAGATATATATCTATCCTAACTATTTTGCATATACTGATACAAAATGGTCCTTCATTTGTATCCCCTTTTTTGTTTAGTTTTGTCAGAGATGTGTATTCCATTGACATTCAAATATTATATGTGTGTGACTTCAGCAAAATAATCCAATATAGTCCAGCAGTCCATAATAGTAGTGAGTTACCCGTAGCACTGGCAATGTCAGAAGTTGTTGACTTGAGCCTTTTATATCTCAGCATATTAATATGGCTTTACTTTTCATACCTCATTTTTATACTTTTCTGCTGGATGGTTAAGACCAAGATAAAGCAAGACTTATCTAACAAGAAATGTAACTTTTGTATCTGCCAAGGTCAGTCAAATCCCCTCAGGATTTACCCTGACACCTTGTATGGCAGTTTGTTGATCCTTTGTCAGTGTCAAGCACGTGGATGAGTCATGGTCATTGCTTGACCAATTTGCTCTCTGTGAAACTGGCCCATCCTTTACATATCATTTTTTAAATAATATACACTGTTGCCCAACCAATGAAAATAGATACTAACACCATGATGGGAAATATTGAGACCACAGTAAGAGGATATGAGTGGAGTCACTGATTTTTGGCAATTTATTCTTACTCTACAGTCTATAGGAGAAGGTTCCAGAACCATTGATCTTTCTGGAGAAGTTTCCACAGCTCAGTTTGATGTGCCAGTTATGGATGCCTGGAACTGTGACAGGAAAACTAGAAGAAGTTGAAAAGGAAGAAACTCTCTGATCAACTTCCTCAAAATGCCATGTAGTTCTTATGGTAGGTGAAGGTGGAACCCTGGGAGCTTGTCCAGAAGTTCTGCCAAATTCTTTAAATCTCTTGGGCTCCTTAAATTGGCAAAAGTTGTGTCTTTTTCCCCCAAAACAGTGATAGGAAGGTATTCATTACCTTAATGAGCTTAGAGCTTTAAAAATACATTTAAAAAAAATACATTTTCTTTCTTTCTTTTTTTTTTTTTCTGAACCAGGGATTGAACTCAGGCCCTTGTGCTTGCCAAGAAAGCGCTTATTCTACTGAGCCATCTCCCTGGCCAAAAAAAAATACATTTTCAATCTCAACTTTCTCTCAATTTCAGTTCCCTTTCATTGTTCCTCATGAATATGTATGTAAATAGCTTTCATCAAAAAGGTCTGGGCTAGGGATATTGCTCAAAGGCTGTAAGAGCAAGATCCTAGCAAGTGCAAGGTCCTGAGTTTGATTCTCAGTAGAAAGAAAGAAAGAAAGAAAGAAAGAAAGAAAGAAAGTAAGTAAAAGATTTTAACTTTCCTTTCATTGGATGTGTCAAACTATCACCATTCTGTTTATTATTGTAATCAAATTGTGCTATTACTATTTTCAGTTTTTTTGTACTCACATTTAATAAAAGTAAGTCACTGCTATTTCTACTTAACAGTATTTCGATATTATCCTAAAACATCAAATACATGAAACTAATCAAATAGCTTGCACACCACTGCCTCCTATCAAACCAAAATCAGCAAGAGGGTAAAAGATTTTTATACAGCTCTCTGTTATTTATTCCAAAGAGGCCTATCTTATTGAGCATTTACTAATTAATTAAATAAATACAAATAAAATGTTTATTGAACACTGACCATTTCTCCCACGTCCTTGGGATATCATGATGAGTAAACCCAGATACACATTGCTGACTGCATGGAGTCTAACATATAGTAGGGGGATGACATCTATCTGACACAAATGAGGGTGAGTTTAAATGGCAACCGTGTGCAGCACTTTGAAAAAGAACCTTAACAATGAATAGAGTTTGACATTTTACTCTGTATTCAGTGTACATTTAACTTTAGATTTCTTACTTCTATTATTAGTCAAAAGAATAAAAGCAGAAGTACTACCTTGTGTACCCAATTCCTTTGATTTTTATAAATGATGAGGCGGATTCTGAACTATTGGATTTACAGAATAAAGCAGACCCTTAGCGTCTGTTGTCCTGTACTTCAAACAGATAAAGCCGAGCAGGGCAGAGACTGCTGGCATAGGCAAGCCTATGTTTACCACTCAGTCGAATCAGCTTTCTGCACACTCCCTCGAGGTGCAAAGAGATGTCTGCGTCACAATTACTACATTTCAGACTGGGCGGATTTACTCATGTCCTGGAGAATGACAGGATCAAGGAAAAGGACACTCACAAATGACAGGATTTCAGTTCAAGTCACTGGTGCAGACAGGAGGGAAGAGGTCAGAGAACACTTACTGGTAGGTGGTCGGGCTGACATTGATGCGCCGAGGGTGGCTTCCTGATTCGAATTTGCTTGCCAGAGTGACGTTATTTCCAAAGAGGCAATATCGGGGCATCCTCACCCCAACAACACCAGCCAGCACGGAGCCCGAGTGAATGCCTATCCTCATCTGAAAGAAGGCAAAGGGTGAAAAAAGAAAAAGAGATGTATTTGGTATGCAATCATTTTAATGGGAAGTATTGCTTATTGCTAAATAATTAAATTAAGAACTTCTAAAACAGAAATTGAATCTAAAACACCTGCCTGGCAAGGACAAGGTCCTGAGTTCAATCTGCAGTATAAAAAAAAAAAAGACGGATGGATGGATGGACGGACAGAAAGAAAGAAAGAAAGAAAGAAAGAAAGAAAGAAAGAAAGAGAGAAAGAGAGAAAGAGAGAAAAAGAAACTGAGTCTAGATCCTTTTGTTATCTATATAGTGCTCAATCAACATAAATGTTAAATGAATAAACAGGTTGATTATATGAATTCACTACATGAATCTGCTTCTGTTACAGGTTCAATCAGCTCATTTTCACATAATATCCTTTAATAGATGAAAATATACATTGTTCCATAGTTTCACACCAGTTACTCTTTTAGAAAGCCCTACAGTTTCTCTTCATAACATTAAGCACATCTTTAAATTAGTATTTGTATTTTTGTAGAGTCCAAGTAGGCATTAGATTTCCCATGCGAGAAAACTGTAACATTTCTATTTTCCTACTGCTGAATATTCGGCATTTAGAATAACACCTAAAGCAAACAAGGCACTCAATATTAAATAATGAAAGCAGCATAAATTGCTTGAATTTCACAACACATTATTAAAGTAGAGCTACAGAAAATTCAACCCCAGAGTCAGCCAAAGCACTGATTGTAATGATGAAAAGTAAATTATCCACTGTTAATTTAGTCTCGGTTTACCCTGAAAATTGTATAAAAATAAATCTGTACCATGCAGGTGCCCTCGACATTGCTGTTGCTATATATTCAGATGGGATTAGCAATGAAATTTTATTAAAGACAGTGTATACCAAAAGTGCTGAAGCTAGTCAGGATAAAGAAGCCGATATCCCTAGTTCTAAGGCAATGCAGCAGAAATCCAAACTCCTACACAATAAGAGAGAAAACGGTCACCCTTCACTACCGTGTCCTCCTTGCTCCAAGCTGTGAGGACAGAGAGTCCCTCTAGATCAGTGCTGATGAACCTATGACATGGTGTTACTGTGTTTTTCCCTTAAGACAGAAGATCTCTGTGTAGGGCTTGTTTTTCTTCTGAGCTAAAACTTCCATATTCAGATTGAACTGCAGTGTTGACATTGTATGATAAATATGTGGGTCTGGGGTTGCAACTGGGGCACACATTTCTAAAAGGTTTGCCCTCGCTGCTCCAGGCCAGCCTTTGTTATAGTAGGACTAGAGACTTCTCCTTATTTCAATCTCTAGTAATATAGCTTGAAATGAGCATGCTTTGGCCATGGCTCCCAATATCCCCATTTACTTTTTAAATACTGTAAAATTTATCTGGCAAGTTGATGTGGTGGGAAGAGTTAAGAAACAGTAACAAAGAAAAAAATAGTGCATTTATCCTGCCAGATATCAAGTTTAGTATGAATATATTTAATTAATGCATGAAAAAAGTATACAGAGAAATACATTAATGATATAGTCCACAAAGTCTCCCACAGAAGGAGCATGGGAGGCACCAAATAGGTGCTACATATGTGAAATCTGTGAGTTAGCATTTCACACTAGCTCCAAAAGATGGCCTTCTCTTAGGATGTTCTTGATCAACTGTCTTCATGTGCAAACAAATTCCGGGTAAGCTAAAGATCTTGATGTAAAAGACACAGTTTACACCTTTAAAAATAATTGCATTAATTAAGGAAAGGTCAATTTGCAGCATTAATAAAATGTAAAAACACAAATATTTTTAAAAATAGTCTTGCTGGATGTGGTAGTACATTTCTATAACCTCAGAACTCTGGGAGGATGAAGTAGGAGGATGGCAAAGTGATGTTCAGCCTGAGCACTTCAGCTACCAAGTGAAATCCTGTCCTAAGAAGAGGGAGAGGGAGCTGAGAGGTGGCGTAGTGCAAAGCCATTGGAGGAATCACCAGTACCAAAATGGAGAAAATCTCAATGTAAGTTCCTAGACAAGAGATGGGGGTGGTCAGTAGCTCTGTGTTCCTCCAGTCCTCTTGAGTGTGCTCCTCCTCCATGTCTTGGCATACACTCATGCTACAGAATGTGGGGACACAGATGACCAAATCCAACACAAGGGTCATGCAGTAATCATTTGATACAATTTTCATGTCTTTGTGTAGGTCTGGCCTGATCTGATATCATTTTTATTCTGTTTGAAGGATTTTAACATTTCTATGTTGTAAGTTAACTGATGCTGAATTCCTTAAACTTTTGTATGTTTTACAAAACAAAACTTTATTTTGTCTGAGCATTTGAAAGATATTTTGATTGAATATGGAATGCTATACATAAAGTTTTGCTTTTTTCTTTGCTTTTCTTTTCAGTACTTTAAGCACATTTCCCACTATCCCCAACGTGCATTGCCAGTCAGACTTATTTAATTCCTCTCTACATAATGTCTCCTTACTCTGCTTGCTTTTAAGTGTTTCCTGTATTGCTAGCTTAAAGTAATTTTGAAATGAGTTCCCCTGTTAGTCTCATTACATTTCTTGTGCTCTGAGTTTGTTGCACAAAAATCTCAGATCTAGGAATCTACAGTTTGCATTAAAATTAGAAAATGTCCAGACATTTTTAGATTTTTTAAACACATCTCCCTTGCAGAGATTATGACCATATATGTCGAGATACTTATTTTTTTCCAAAGGTTACAGAAAATGTATTGATTTAAAATAATTTTTGCTCAGTATCCGTTTACTTTTGGATTTTTACATGCCTTCAAATTAGCTAATCTTTTCTTTTGTAATGTCTAGTCTCTTGCTAATCACAGTGTATTTTGCATCACTGTAATTTTCTTCTCTAGAAGTTAAATTTAGTATGTTTCAACTTGCAGGTATCAATTTAACTTTCAAGCACATGGAATTTAGTTAAAATAATTGTTTTAATAATCTTGTCTGCTAATTCCAAATTGGTTTTGCCAGTGTGTATCTATTAGTTTTCATGGATGGATTTTTCTACTCATTATGAGTCATAGCTTTTCCGCTTTATTTCATGCTTAGTAATTTTTGAATGGATGTCATCTGCCACAAATTTGATTTTGTTTAATGCTGGATATTTTTCTATTCTCCTAAACATTCTTGACCTTTTTCTGGGATGCAGTAAAATTACTTAGAAATAGTTTTGTTTTTTTTCTTTTAACTCTTGATTTTAAGATTTGTTTGGCCACTCTGGACCAGTGTCTCATGAACGGCTTATTATCTTCCATCATTAAGAACATTTTTCAATACTCTGCCTATTGGAAATTTATGAACTTTTCCAGTCTGCCTAATGGACACAAACCTACATGGCAATCAGTCCTTCTTTCTCCAAGGACAAGAGATGCCTCCTCCTTCCCTCAGGACTCAGGTGGTTCCTTCACCAGACCAGCCAATACTCTGCAGGGTACCTGAGAAGGACCCTTGATTCTTCTCACAGTCCTGCCAGGGAGTATCATTATTATTTTATGATTGAAGATCTCAAAGGGATCAGTTAACCTGCCTAAATATACACAGTTAACATATTACTCAAAAGTCTTTCTTTTGCAAGTGACAGAAGATAAAAACCACAGTTCCTTAAATACTTGAAGCCTTCATGTAGCTCCAGTGTCTCTGGCACCGTGCATGCTACTTATGTCCTCCCTGGGCTCCCAGCTGCTCAGCTCTGTCTCTCCAACTCTGGGAGTATCTCGGTACCTCCTGGCTGCCTCTCCTTGAACACCAACCCAGAGGTCTCCCAAGACAGGAAGGTTAAACAATGCCCAACCTCACCCCCTTTCTTTCCTAGTGGTCAAGGATTGCTGCCCCCCACCACCACTATCTAGCGTCCAGTGCCATGAGAACTGTTCTTTTGTATATTTTGTCCCAATTTTTCACTTTTTAAAGTAGAATAAAACTTCAATGTCTATTCCTCTTATTGGTTGAAAGCAAAAGTGAGGTCACTTTAAGACAGCGAACTCTCTATAATACAGGTCTATTTTTAAAATTTTAAACAGAATTTAAAAATACCTTTAAAAGATACATAATTTCAAAATAAGTTGATAGGAAATCAACAATGGTTATTACATCACATATTGTTATCTTTAAAGTAGTGGTCATGTTACCGGATAGAGGCATACAAAATTGATCAAAAAAATTAAGCATCAACTGTTCCTGTCAACAAACCAATGGCTCACACAATTGTACTATGACAAGCAGGTCTGTTTCTGGCGAGAGATTGTTTCAGCTGAAGGGAAAATATGGAAAGTCAGTATTCCTTTCAAAGAAGATAAGAGTAAAGTCACCTGTCCCTTAAAATTAGTAACATACCCTTTCATATTATATTCCTTTGAATTTTTGTACTTTCAGAAAGTTTATTTCTATCATTATCTTGTATAACAGGCTTGCTAAAACAACACCCAGACCTTAGACTGCAAGAGATTTGGGGCCTGTGATTACTACTGTGATCTTTTTAAGCAAAAGAAGAGA